CAGGCCCTTATGGCTGCCAGTAAGACAGCTTGTACCACGGGTGGGGGGGGGGGGGGGGGGGGGGGGGATGAGGACTTTGAGTCCCTGTAGATCATCTGGGGATTTCAGGAAAGAATATTCTCCAGGCACTTCTTCAAGCATTGGACAAAACCAAACCACACCAAAGAGGGGTGAATAAGAAGAGTCTGGCACACCTGGCCCTAGAGTTCTTCCCCCACACCCCTACCCCAATTTAGTTTCCTAAAGGCAGTTGTGAAGATAAGACCTTTTCTTTAACAAAGGTAAAAAAAAAAAAAAAAATCCAGCCCAAGCAGTCAGTGTTTGTCAGTAAGGGACAAAGAGGCAAAGGGCTTGTAGTGACAGTTGATTCCTAAATGGAAGCTGTTCAATGTCAGTGGGTTGCACCTGACTCAGCCTGAGCATGCTTCACACCAAATGCAAACAAGTGCAGAAATTAAACTTGAACGTTGTGCTCTGAAAGCCAAGGGCTGCATGAAGAAGGAGCTGTCAGCTGCTGCCTCGGGTCCATGCTGCCATAGAGATTGTGCTTCCTCTGAATAGGTATGGTTAGCTGCTCTTGAAGTCATCTAGTCAGAGCTGGTGTGCCAGTCCGGGGCTTGTAGCAAAAGCCCCAGTCTTTCCCTAAGGCCCCAAAATTTGTGGTTCTCAAATAAGGAATCTGCATGGTACAAAACAAACCCCTAGATCATAGGCGAGGTTCTACAGCCATCAGTGGGAGGATATGTCTGAATCAGCTTTTAATTTGTAAAATAAATGGGCTTTTTCTTTCTTGTCTGTTCCCCACTGAAGGCCCCTGCTGTGCTATGGGCAAAAATCCCTATCCTTTGGTAAAACACTTGTTGATAACTTCACTGCTAAGAACATTTCCATAGTGCTTACTATGTGCCAGGCGCTGTATTAAGCACTTTACAATTCTGGTCTCATTTGATCCTCACAACAACCCTGAAAAGTAGGTGCTATTATTATTCATTGTACAGTTGAGGAAACTGAGGCAAAGCGAGGTTAAGTGACTTGGCCAGGGTCACATTGCTGGTGTCTGAGGTCAAATTTGAACTCAGGTCTTCCTGACTCTAGGTCTAGCATTCTATCTACCGTACCACATAGCTGCCTCTAAGAAAAAAAGATACTACAGAATTAAAATATTTTTAAACACTAAGACTTTAAAATTTTTGTTTATTTTTATTTTCCTAGGTGTCTGAAGGTCAAGAGATTTGCGTGATTGAAGCTATGAAAATGCAGAACAGTATGGGGGCAGGGAAAACTGGCAAGGTAAGATCAGCCAGCTGTTGATCTTATGAAAACTTGTGGTCTCCAGGGTGCCAAAGAAAACTTGAGTTTGCGAATTACAATCACAAAGCAAGAAAGGGGCCTTATAAATTAACTTAAGTCTATCTAGTTCCTTTTCTTTATTTATGAAAAAACTGAGGGAGAGTAATTTGTGTAAGGGTTGCACAGCTAGTGACTGGTTCAGCACTAGACCAGGTCTTCTCACTGAACCTAGTACTTTTTCCACTGCACAATGACAGATAATTAAATTGGGCCAAAAGTTAAACCAATTCCTGCCCAGCCCTTTTCCCCTCAAAAGAAGACATGAATATTCAGGTAGCAAAAGAACAATGGTTCTTAATTTTAATGTCTTTCAAATTGAGGGGTCTTTAATTTTTAATGTTTACATCTGTCTTGGAGGCAGTTATCTGAGACTTAGGTGACACAGCAGGGGATGGTTTTACAGATTGCAAAAATTAATGTAAATCGGTTTCTCACAATAATTTCTTCATAAAGAGAACAATTCAGTTTTAGATCAAGTACTGAAAAGTCCCTGGGTATACATTACTACTTAGCAGTTTAGCAAAGGCATTTGGCATTTCTGTGCTCCTGAAGCCTCTGCTTGTGAGTCACAAACCCTAACAGGTCCTACCAAGATGTAAAGCATTTGAGCATGTCCTGGTGATAGATTGTACATACCTGTTGTCTGAAACCAGCCTCACCAAGTTTAGGAGATGATAACTATGCTATGGCCACAGGAAGGTGAAACTGTTGGCCATAGTGATTCTCAAAGACATGTACTAAATTGTAGAGGGCCAGAGTCTGCCAGGGAGGGGGTGACCACACTAACAAAATTATAGATCTTTGAAGTAAAGATGCAGAATTTTAAGTTTCATTCACATCTATAAAAAACATTTGAGCAAAAAATTATTCTTCCTAAGATTCAAGTGTCATAATTTGTAACCAAATACTTTGAAAGTGTACATTTGTGTTGGTTTAGAAATATTCAAAATGTAGATCTAAGTAGTATGATAATCCTGGCCCAATCATGTGTGACCCTGGATTGAGTGAGGTAATATCTTGTGGTTCAGTCATATTTATAAGATAAGACGTTCAAACCAGATAACCTCTAAGGGCACTTCAGGCTCCTAAGACTGGTATTAATAGAGTTGTGGCTTTCTTGCAATACCCTGTTGGCTTTAGCAAAACAGCCCCTGAAAAGTGACAAATTCAGTCACCTTGAAAAAAACTTAGAAAAGTCGAATATCTGAGGGTGCACAGGTATATGCCCTTGGAAATTAAACAAAATTGAAAACCAGAAATCTGGGCAAGGGGGTACTTTAAAAACATTGGTAATGCCTAGGTTTTGGTAGGGTAGAAGAAAAGGTTTGTGTGGGGTTTCTGCACCAGTAGGTTTGGTAAGGACCAGGGGAGCCACATTGGACTCCCTGGGCAGATAACATTTAAACCTAATAGGAATCAATATGAAGCAAATCATAGAAAAGACATGTGTGTTCTTTTTAAGTCTTCAGTTTTTAAAGTGAGCAGGAAAAATCTGTCAGTTTCTCATAATCATAACAATTTGTATATTGGTTAACTTATATGATATAACCACCCTCTCGTCCATGGAAAGATGTGTATGTAGCCAGTGCCCTCAGTATGCATGTTTTGTGATGCCATCTATAGTTGGCAGATGCCCTAAAACTAAGCATCATTGGATTTTTTTTTAAAAAAGTTGAGCCTAAATTTGTGGTTTTATATTTCAATTATGTTGTTATCTCACATAACCAGAGATGATGCTCTGACCCATCACCCATTGTTTTCCCAGTGGTGGTGAAGGACTCACACTGACTTATTCACATTCTCTTGCACCGCAGAGTTTGCATCACTTTTGAATGGCTCTAGCTGATTTATACCATGAGCTTTCATGACAGACACAACTCTGATGGTCAGAAACCTGAGCACAAAGAAGCAGGTCAAGTCAAAGTGAAGGTTGCCTAGATTAGATTTTTATTACTTGTTCTTGTATCACAGGGTATTTTTTTTTCCAGGAAATTCCAAGTATCCTCATAAAAAAGCTCACAATAGAAGTGCCTCCTCTACCATAGTAATTGTAGCATCATTAAAAAAGACATCACATACAAACATTGGAGGCATCAGTGTCCAGAAAAAACAGTCTCTTCAATCCAAGTGGCACGTCACCATAGCCTCATACCATTCAGAAAAACTCAGTTTAGGACAAACATTCTTCTTGGTCTGTTCCCATCTGAGTTCAGTGGACTTAGGAGAGCACAGGACACTAGGCCCCTCTACCATTTTGTATTTTTACCAGTTATCCACATGGCCCATTTCTCCCTTGCTTATCATTGCTGGAGCCTGTGCCAGGTCAAACGAACCCTTCCCTATACCCTCCTACCCTAAAAGTATCAGAACTTCCAGAAACATGTGGCATTTTTGGAAGGCAGAACTTTTTTTTATGAGAAGAAAAAATCAGTGGAATGGGAAAAAAAAAAAAAGCCTACTATAGTAACAATCACCATGGGAAATAAGTCCACAAAAGAATCCATTACATCAGAAGCCCATAATGGACAATATATAATACTTCTGATTGTTTAATTTCTATTCAAAGGCAAGTACCTAATTACAGCATTTAGTCTCAGGGTTACAGGTTCTTTGCTTTCTACTTTTAATTAATCCTTTAATTAAAATTAGTTTGTTCTCTTGTTTTCAGTTACATTGGGATTCAGTGAGTATATGAAATGTTACAGCATCTCAGAAAATTTTACTCTGGGTTTTGGAGTGTGTGAAGTTAAGATTTAGGGGGATTCATGTTTTCAAAAAAGCACCTAGTTCACAGTTTCCATTTGGAATCCAAATGTAAAAAAATAGTACCTATGTATAGGTTGGGTTTTTGGGCGGGGGGGGGGGAAATTACTGGACATTTTAATGGCTACATTTCCAGCTAAGGTGTTATGTGCTGTAAAATTATTTCCCCAAAGGGATTCCCCCTTGAACTGAGAGGCCTTTTCAGGCACATAAGGACAAAAGGACACTCTAAAGGGACTTGGGGCAGAGGAGAGAATGAGTCATGCACATACTCTACTCAAGGTAATCCCAGCCTCATTTAGCACTACATCTGAGGACTTCAGGGAGCCAAGCAGATTGTACCTGTGCCTCAGATCCTGCAGAGACCTCCTTGTCTTTTCCAAATGAAGTTCTGGATATTGCTTCTCCGTTCATCCTTATAAATCCTGTTTAATGATTACTCTTTTTTTTTTTTTTAAGGTGAAATCAGTGCATTGCAAAGCTGGAGACACAGTTGGAGAAGGAGATCTTCTTGTAGAACTGGAATAAAATATCCTTAATCATCACCCATTTTAATTAGCTATTTTTATTACTATTCTTTCATACCAAATTTATTCCGGCATTTTACGGGAATGCTCCTGTGCAGCAGATTTTACATGGTCATATTTATTCCATATATAGTCAAAACTAACATTCTGCCAAAAAAATCACCAATGGAAATTTGTATTGATATAAATAATCGTACATATGATTTGTACTTCTGCTGTGAGATTTCCTAGTGTCAAAATTAAATCAATAAAACGGAACATTTGTCTAAATATTAGTTTGCCCTTTTTTTGAATGAAGACAATGTACACAAGATGATAATCTGTGCCAGTAGACTTTAAATACCAGACTCTTTTCTGTGATCTCTTCTAAGAATGTGTGCAAATTTCAGCCAGTCTTAGATCATTTCAAATTAGCATTAGTCATCTTAGACCCTGATTAGCCACGCTCAAGTCTTGACTCTTTTCCATAATTACAGAACCCAACAGCCTAATTTTTTATCATTTATCAGTCTTAACTTTCTGAAGACAGTACCCTAACTATTTGCAATACTGCCTTTATGTCATAGTGTTTAGTGGCATACTGGTGGTATGGTACTGGATCTAAGCCTAAAGCTTTGGAGCTTCACATCAGGGAGATCTTAGCCTCCTGCCATATCTACAATATTATGCTCCTCAGGAATGGTCTGCAAATATAACCCCTTCTTCCAGGCTAGTCAAAAGAACAGAAGCTATTTAATAGTTCTTACACTATGCCCCATTACACAGTACTTTGTTGTGATCTTGCTAGCTTATCAGCTGATGATAGCTATGTTTACTGTTGTATAGATCATTTCATTGCTCCAGGAATGCAGCTAGTATTCACCCTCTACCATTAAATTTAAGAGAAAATAAAACTTGCAACTACTGAGGTTAAGAAGAATCAGTGCCCAACAATTGTAACTGTGTTCTTCCTTGGTTCTTAAATACTTAGCACGAATCTAGTGCTTTGCTTGGAAGCAGAGGCAAAGACGTGTATATTAACTTGAATCTACACTGACTTGAAATATCAAATGGGAGGTGGATGGTAATTGGTACCTCATGCCTTGCTAAAAATTATTTTAAGTGTTGTCTGTACTTAGAAGCTTAAGTTTTCTGTCAGGGCTGAAGAAAAAATTGCCAATGCCTTGGTTTTTCTGTGCTATCCCCACCCCCAGGCACTGTTCTCCTTGAAGAGTAAGTGATATTTTCTTGGTTCTGTGGATCTGGGCATCGGTCTAAACTTCAGTCTGATACTCAATCCAGGATGCTTGGTTTTATCCACAAGCAAGTGGGTGTTTTGCTATTTTGCTAGACTACAAAGGAGGGGTAACAAAGCCTATGCAAGATAAATCTTTTTTCAAAAAGATCCAGGACATAAATATCACTAATACTATGTTTAAGCTCCCTAATTGGTTTAGTTTTGAATGGTCATTTTTTATTATAGGCATTTTTCTTTGGCTGCTTCTGCAAATGGATCAAGAATGAACCCGCTAATATACCAAATTACTTACTGACACAGCACAGCAAAGCAGTTTTTATAAAAACATCTAGGTACAATAGGCCAGAATCAATTTGGCAGTATGGATATGGTCTAGTGGGTCAAAATAACACATTTCAAAAGATTCATTCCCAAAATTATCTTAATATTTAAAAAGAAGGCAACAAAATTATAGCACAGAATGAACTGAGGATATAAAATGTCTACGTATATGCCATTGGGTGAATCTAAATTTTACAACTTAACCTTTCTTTTTGAACACCTTAAAGGTAATGCCGTTGGAACAGACAGCAAGAGTACAAATAAAACAAACCATGGAATGATCAGTACAATGCTGTCAATGTGTTAAAAATCATCTCTAAGATAAGCTCCAATACAGCCTTAGTAGATTTCCATAATGTTGACTTTAGAAGTCAGTTTTGATCATCTTTAAATGTACTGCTATGGCTTTTCAAAAAAACCTGATGATAATGGCAAATTAAGATGAGGTCATCTTATAATCAACATGTGTTTTATTCATCTTCTTACTAATGAGTGTTCTTTACCATTTTTCATCTATTTTCCCGTGGATTATAACGAAGGCCGTGTTTCCCTAAGGAATCATAATTGTCATAGTAAGGGAGATTTATCCACTCTGGCGGGTAGGTAGTTGTGCTGTACACAAAGCATTCCATAATGCTGTTAACAGCTGGCCTCTCCTCAGGTGCACTGCTTTTACCTTCCCACTCTAATATTTCAATCCTCACTGGAGTGCGTTGATACATGTCTGGGCAGCCTTCAAATTCATCAAGGAATTGCAGCATCTGGTCATCAACAGAATAGATCTCTCCAGTAACGTGATGTCCTTTTCCTGGGACATTCAGCAAATAGGGAATGTTATGTTTGCTTCCAATCACCAAAGGATATAGATCTATTGTGCGACCCCGACCTTGGAATTCTGCAATCCCATTGGTACAACTGGTCATGAAGCTGTGGTTGGGTTGGCCTTTTTTAAGAGTCCCATATACAAACACACATGCCATTCTGGTCAAAGAAGCTGAAAATAAGAAACCAAGTATATCAGTACTATATGAGTGCTAAGGGGCAGGGCAATTAATCATCTTTGCATTGTCTAGAAGGAACCAAAAAAATTAGCAAAGGGGAGAAAATATTTTGCTTGGATAAAAGGATGAGCTTCATAACCATGTCGGTGATAAAGCAAAGAACAGGCTGTAGAATATAGTCTATAGTCCTAGGGCTCATCAAGAGAACAGATTATCCTCTGATTGTATTACCTATTTGAATACAAGCAGTAAGACGAGATCCACTCTTGAACCTTGTTCTAGCTCTCTGATTTTTTTTTTTTTGGTGGGCTAAATTTCCTGCAGAAATACTCCATGTAGGCAGAGACCTAACCCAGCATTTATGTATTTCATCAATAGATTTCAAGCCCAAACAGGTCCTTCTAGACAAAAAATTATTAGGAATCAGAATCTAGAGCAAGATCTTGTATATTTTCAATCATTTCATCAGTATCTCTTGATAGTTATTTATATAGGTAACTGGAAAAAAGAACTGGCCTGACAGCTGCTTCTATAAATACTACAGCAATTAATTCCTTCGTTTTCCAATGATCCTCAGGTCTTGATTTTTGTCCATTTTTTTCTTAAAGAATTCAGTTCAACAGACATTAAGTATGTTCTGTGTACAAGAGACTATCTGATGGGGATTCAAAGACAAAAATTAAAGTCCCTCCTCAAGAAGTTTGTATTGGACTGGAGTGAGACAACATGTATGAAATATTTACAAAGCAATTTTGGGAGTGGCACCTGAGCTTTGCTTTGAAAAAAGTAAACTCCAAGACGTTAGGAGGTTAGGAGAAGGAACTGTGTAAAGGCATGGAGGCTGGAGATGGAATGTCTCTGATAAGGAACAGCTTCATCTGTATTTTCTTTAACTAAATGAGTATTTTTCCCTCTGAAAAATGAGTTATTAAATCCTAGCACACTAGGGAACTATGCCCAACTTGGTCTTTCCTGTTAGGAAGCAGCGGAGTGCTGTCTGGTTTCTGGTTTATCCAAACATTACCCTGACCATAGCACCAGTTCCCCTCTTTTCATTTCAGTTGTTTCACAAAATTATCACTGCTATTTGAAACACAGTGATTAAGGGCACTTTCAAAACTCTGCATGAGTGTGAACTTTCCTAAGCTTGATCAAATACAACGTACACCACCTTCTCCAACATGGGGCTATTTCTCGATAAGCATGTTGTGATCAATACTTGTTTTAATGTTTAAGCGACCACAGGTAGTTCTTTACTTAAAAATACAAGATGATGAATGTCTTGCAGTATGCCAACACACTGCATATAGTAACAGGACCTATCCCCCTCCAGCAGCCCTACCCTTCTGAAAGCAACCATAGCTATAGCTCCTTCTTCAGGAACTACTGGCCCCTTTCTCCATGGCAAAGGACTCAGTGGGGGCCACGGGTGACATTCAGAGCAGTCTTATCTTCTGAGCTAAAGGGGCACCCTCTGGCTTGGAAGTGGTGGTTGGACTTCTCACAAGCCTAACACTGGGATAAAGATATTCCTGTATCCAGTTAGAAATCAGAATGCACTTTCCCAGAGAAACAGTGGTATAAAGAGTAGATCACATACAGTGCTGATATATATGTGTATATGTGTTTAAGGTTATTTGTGTGGACTGGCCTAGAAACCTAACCATCCTGATAGCATTATTTCTGTGGGAAATTGTGCTGGGTTTTTTAATTTCAGGGCTATATATCCTGGAGAAAGTAATTACAAAATTTTTTTTTCCAAAGCTGAGAAACTTTTCCATCTTACAGACAACAATTAAATTCTAAGTACAGCAATATGGTTATAGAAACAAATTTAACCAACAATTCTGCATGTGCTTCCTTTCTTACCGCTGACAGTAATAATGGTTTTTTATGTCTCCCTAAAAGTAACTCTGGAGTGTTCCTGGCCAGGGGGTGGGGAGGAGGCAGGAAGTAACTCACCTGGGGTTACGGCCAATGGTAGGAGGAAGCAGACCACCCATAGTAGTGGCCCAATATCTGGCTAATCTTATTAACTAAATGCTGAGAGCTCTTGTTTGTCCACTAATGAAAGACTGAGAGTGCTAATGCCCCTTTATTTTGGCTCCAGTTTGTCAATGTCCTTCCTGAAACGTGATGCCCAGAATCAGAACACACTATGTTTATTATATGTGGCCTGACATAGAATAAAGAATGACTATCACTTATTCTTTCTGGATACTAAACCCACAACTGAGTAAGCTTTCTGTCTAACATACCACACTATTAGGTTTAGATTGAACCTTACAATGCCTGAAATGTCTAGCTATGGCTCTTTCCTCCTGTACCTGTAACAGGACTTTTTTGGACTTGAAAGATTTAACATTTTTACCCAGTTATGCTTCATATATTATATCTAGCCTGTTTTCCAACTTATTGAGATCTTTTTGGCACCCAGTTCTGTCATTTCCCCCTCCTCAAATTTGTGACATCTTCAAATTTGATAAGCATACCATCTTTGCCTTCATTTAACAAAAAATATATTGAACAGCAAATAGTTAAGGATAGAACCTTATATGTTTCCATGAGAGAAATTCCTCACTCTTTGGGGAAATTGGTCAACTGTTCTGAAATCACCTAAATATACCATCAACCAATTCACAACTCTCCAACTTGTCCACAGGAGGCATCTAGGAGACAGTGTGTAAAAGCACTGAACTGGGACTCAAAAATACCCGAATTCAAATCCTGCCAGCCTTCCTCACTATGTGCCCCAGGGCAAGTCACTTATAACCTCTCTCAGCCTTGGTTTGCACACCTACCTCAGTGTTAACTATCAAATGAAATTACATCTGTAAAGTGCTTTGTAAACCTTTAAGTGCTATATAAATGCTAGTTGTTGTTTTTTAGAGAATATCAAACACTTCACTGAAATCTGGGTGCACCGTGACTTTTACTGCCTTCTCCAGCTCTACAGTGAGGGAACCCTGAGATGAAATTATACAGGTACAACCTTTTCTTCAATGAACCATTCCGGTTCTTGCTCACTGATCCCCATTCTAAGAGCTCACAAACATCCTTTTGCTAACCCATTATTCGAGTAAACATATTGTATCTCAAGTGAGGACCACCTATAAAAGTTGACTCTAAAGGACCACATCTCAGCAGCTGGCAGCTGATGTAAAACAATTGGCAGGTTCTTCACTAGGCTGTGTAGGGCTGCCTGAGAATGCGTAAATGATGAGGAAGAAAAACTTCAGGTTTGTAAGCTAAACTACAATCTCCTGATTTCTGGTCTTTTCAGTGATCATTACTCGAATGAGATGGGCTAATGGGTCATCTGTTCAGGACTCTATCACTAACCTTATAATCTACCATTGCTAAGCCTCATGTATAAATTATTTCTGTCTGTCTTGTGGGAAATTCTCCATAAATGCTTGCTAATTTGTTTCCATATTTAGAAAGGATAGAACTTTATTTACAGTTGTAATGTTCACATGGAAAAGAAACAAGATGTCCCTTTGGCTTGAAGGGATACACTCGTGTTTGAAAGAGAGTTGCTGATGATAGGACTGGCTAACATGGCTGTATTCCAGACATTTTAAATACAGTGTCAGCCAAAGATTTATGTAACTTTCCACCATATGGAATTTTTTCATTCAGATTATTATTTTGTGAGTGGCAGAAGGAAACAGACCTATGATTTTATTGGTATAGGGGATTTCCAGTGGAAAAAAATCGCTCTAATAATGCAGATCAGAAGCTGAGAACTTAAGGTACTTGCCCAGAATCATACAACCAGTATATATCAAAGAAAGGATTCAGATTATATGTTTTTAATGGTATTTTTAAACCAAGCTATTAAGGAGGTATCTTATAGTGAAGTACAAGACATTGTACTTCAAGAAAAGAATAGGCTTTCAGAACAATAAGCTGTTTGAATTTGACTTTGTGGTCATTGGACAAGCATTGTTAACAACATAAACTATATCACTATGAGATATACCAACTGGGCCCCAACAACAGTCAAATATAGAGCTCTATATCCTTAATATTCAGGGTTATAAGAGAAAAATGTCAATTCTAATCCTGAGCTTCCAAAAATCCCCACTACTTCCCCTAAATTATTATTCCACTCCTATGACACATCATATGCTGCCTTGTATTAGATAATTTTTTTTGCTTGTGCCTTAGTTCCCACCAAATGAATTCTGAATTCCAGGAGGACAAGGAAAGATTGTCTACCCCAGCACCTAATTTGCATCTATCTAGTAGTCTACATACTTGTTAAATGATTTAATGAATCTCAGACTAAAATTTTTTTTGGGGGGGGGAGAATCCTTAATTTTGTATCAAGGTTATTTTAATATCAAGTACACTGGACCAAGAATAAGAGACTGTTCTACCTAGCACTGTTGCTAGGTAGCTGTGTGACTTTGGGCAAAATCACAACTTCTAATTTCTTTCTTTGCCAAGTGGACACAAAACCCATCCAAGCCTCTCACACTAGGTAGTTCTGATAATCACATGAAATATGTGAAAGGCCTCTGAAATGTGTATGGATGCTTTGTCAATGTAAAGTATTTATATTATTGTTGTTATTCTCAATGTGCTCATTCTCATTCAGTTTGATGAAGTTAAGTCCTGGGACAGATCATTATCCTATTATTGTTATTTTGTATTTAATGTTCTTGAGATCATTCCGCAGAACAGACTGCTCTTTGAGGTCAAATAAAAATATTAGAATGTAAGTTCATCTTCTTTAGGCTGAAAACATCATCATTATACATTATAAATCTAACAGCAACTCAGATGATATGTATTTCATCCTGTATCAATAAGATTTTGATTTCTTCTGTTAGGTTTCTGAATTTTGAAATCACTTCATTCCACAGACCTTGGAAATTAAAAGTATTTGGCATGGAAACATCTATTAAATTCTTGCCACTATCACTGTCATTACTGTAGTAAACAGCTATTGAGAAGTTAGAAGTGATGTAAGGCCCCTTCTCAAAAAGGGCCCCGAGAGGTAAGAGCAGGGATTGACATTGCAAACTGTGTGGAATTCATTCATAAAGTAGGATGGCAATTTCCCTGTAACAGCCATAATGTGAGGCCATTCATATAACTATGAGCCCAGCATTGCCTAGATAATTGAGGACCTCATTTGGCACAGGCAGCCACTCTGACCAAACAGAAGGACCCTGCTACATTTGTAAAGGCACTATTCTTTCCTCCCAACAAAAAGATAGTGTTGCTTTTTGTCCCAGTGCTGGACAGTGGTTTAGATAAAATGAAAGGACAGGTCTTGTAGTCAGGTGAATGAGTAGAGGTAGATAGAAATGTTTATATGTGAGTTATTTAGCTTTCTTGACATAAGAAACATTTGAACAACAAAGTCTCTCTCTATCATCCTGTGGCTATAGAGTAAATGTAAACAGTACAGTGACCCAGTGACAATGCCAGCACATCTTGCTTTTCCAGCTCAGACATCAATCTTGTCAACATGAATACATGGGTAACACTGTTGTAAGGTATTCAAATGTCATCACTGGTTGTACACATAAGATGAGAGGTTTTGAATTTGCTTCAGCAGATCAGTATTTCCAAACATTATAAGTAAGTCAGTATCACAGAGAGAGACAGCATTATTTTAAAATCTGGATTCTAGTTTTAGCTCCAATGCTACCTAGCCATATGATCTTGGATAATCATTTCATTTGCCTGGGTAAATGGGGAACATCCTTTGGCAATGTCCTTCACTGTATATAGCCAAACATAGCTGATAGTAAAGTAAAACTCTTCAGACTTTACAACTGGACTACAGGACTATTACTTGACCCTTTGAAAAATCAGCTATCATTTCCTTCGTTGAAAGGAAATAACATTTCCATAACAGATTTGACAATAAACTTTAAACCCCTTTTCCTAAGAAATCATTTTATACCTGACAAATAACCAAACTATATTTTTTTTCTTCATTTTATCTACCTAATTAAATGCCATTTATCCTTCATAATACAAAATAAGTTTGGGGATACTACTTCTTGTTCCAGTACAAAGAAAGGAACATTAATATTCTGCATCTCTGGTTCCTTTTAGAAGAAAAATCATTACCTTTCTGATTGTGTTTGGAATAACAAACACAGATCCTTCAGGAAGAACCATGCCCCTGTGGGGATTGAGAAAGGATTAGAGTTAAGCACTGAAACATGCAATTAATTCCCATTAGGGGATTAGGGCACTCATGTTCACTTTGAATCAGAAAAATGAATTGTGAATAAAATTGTTCACAACCAAGAGGTTACTTGTCAAAGTTAATAAGTTAAAAAATAAAAAGGGAAACTAGAATGCACCCAAAGAGCAGCCAAACTGAAACATCAAGCGGGGAATAAAATAAGCTTTATTTCCATGAAATAAGAAACTTTTCTTTAGTTTCAAGAAACTATGAAATGTTTCCAATAGAAAGATACAATTTCATTTCTTCCATAATTAAGGATTCTGTGAAGATAAACTTGAAAAACTTTTCGCCTTGTTCCACCGCCATTACTTCTCATTCATGAATTTCCCAAATTTGAGCATAATGCCTAGGGTAACTATTAATACACAGGCTCAAACAACAAATAGAGTTAAGGTCCAGAAAATACAAATTAAGAGACACCTAAGATCCTAAGGAGAATCTTACCTTTAGATTGTCAGATTTCTGTCACTCTGAAAACATGACTAAACTATAACGGTAACACACAGGCATAGCCTTCCTTCTAACATCATGTGACATACTACATCATTGTCTCAATGAAACACTGTAGAGTTAATATACAATCTATTGGAGAGAGCCCACAGTTGGGTTCTGGGTTCTGACAGTGGCCACAACACAGTATTTCAGCAAAGTAAAGGTCAAATTGGATACAGAATACAGATCAAATGATTCAATTTCAAAAAGTGATAGTTCAGAGCAAAATAGTCAGTTTAAGGCAGCAAATATTTAATAAAAAACAAAACCCAACAAAGCAAGTGCCTGCCTATGCCTGGAACTATTTGAAATACTCAGCAACTTGTTCAGCATTTTTCTTTCTTGAAACAAAGTCCATGTATGGTTTCATAATTCCCTACAGAGGCAGAAATGCAAGTGATTACAAGGCTTTCAGATAATTGTTTCTATTTTGCCTATTTAGTGTTATTTCTCAGCCACCTGGTGGTTGTAGTGTTAAAGGCAAGATTGAAAAGCAGAGTTTAATTTTAAATTTTAACTTGATGTTAGCTTACAAAAGAAGCACAGTTGCAGAACTACCGCATAAGTCTAGTCTGTACAGTGAAAAACGTTGTCCTGGAAAGTGAGATGAGGAAATAGATAAGATTTCACATCCTCACAACTAATTTGCAAAAGGTTTTTAAATGGACACCAGCTTCTGACACAAAAACCAACCTTTAGAAAGGTACCGCCATGAAATATTCATACCACATCCATTAAAAATTAATGTCTAGAGGAAACACTGGTAAAAATCTGTATGTCAACTCCTTAAAAGTAGCTTTTTACTCTGGGTGTTGAGCCACTGACACAGCTTACAAGTCACTATCTATGCTAAAAAAAAAAAAAAAGATAAAACAACTAAATTTGAAAAGCAGTAAAATCATATCCCTGTTTGTAAATGGTGCCATAGAAAGCAATGATGCAAGATCATATATTATGTAACTAATATTGAATCTTGGGGAAAAGAGAATGATTCACAAGGCAGTTGAGATGCAAATCCCCCTCTGATCCCTTTTCCTTGCTGAAATTTGCTTAATGATTCAAAACTTGTATAACACTTATAAACTAGCTAGAATCACAGCTCAGCCTAGCCCAAACCTTGTGAAACCAGTCAGAATCACAGCTCGACTAAGCCTGAAATTCATCAGACTATAATAGTAGTTTAGGCTAAACTCTCACATCTCACAACTGGACGCTTCATTCCCTTGCTATCTTAAGACAATCTATTGCCTCCTTCACACGAAAACCAACAGCCCCCATTTGGGAAAATACATCCCAAAGCCAGTGCAGAGGTGAAATCCTGTTCCAACTTTTGTATTAACTAAGTATTCAGGGTAACCCTGGCTAGTGTTTTATTTTGTAAAAAACTTCCTTGGATCTCAGGAGAGTATCCATTTCTCTCCCTTTATACAGTAACATTATTTTCCCTTGAGAAAAATTCTTAGTGTTGGCTCAGTGACCAGATATAGTTACACATTAATTCTTCAGAAGTTTCTTAAAACTGTAGGAAACAGGTGAAAAAACAAAATGCCTTGAACTTTAAACTTGAGCTCAGTCTGTTAGAGTGAAGCAAGTTTTAAGGTCATCCTTCACTCAATGCTAACTTTCAAGAAGCCCAACATGCCAGAAAGGACTCGTGGGACTGCATCCTGTTGGTTCTTTGATGCTTTTATTTTGTTACTTGCTATTTTCTTTACAGCACAGACAAGGGCTTCCTGCTTGGGCCGACCCCTTTCCAACCTCACTGAATACCTCGGAAAAGTTTATGGCAAAACACCTTTCTTATATTAACCACAGAGGCACCAGTGAAGTGATGACTCCTTTGAAATCAAGAGGTTATGGTCTCCTCTCAGCAGTTGTTCACTCAGAAATGACTAAGTACTGGTTTGTGAAAACAAACAAGAGCATGATAGTAACCAATGTCATGCTGAATATCCTCTCGTCAGTAGTACCCAAAATGCTGCCAGGCCTTGCTAAAGCTGAGGGGGAGGTGGGAGAGCGGGGCCTTTCAGAAATAGAACATATACTACCCTTCACTATCTGATAGCCTTACAGTAGAGGATAAGCTACATAGGGAAACACAATTAAAAACCTTTCCTCCTTGACAGATATAGAGAGCAATGGTTGGAACACTTTGTAATCATGGCAGAAAAAAACACCCCACTCTTTAACTTAATCAAAATCGAGGTAGGGTATTGAATCTATGTTTACCTGCACCTGGGATGACAAATACTAGTACTACCACTGAGAAGATTTAGAACTGACTGTATGGGTTTACCTAAGGAATGGTGATTCATGGATTAACATCAACCAGAAGGCAATATAATGTAAATTCCTTGGGGAAAAGCCTGTTATTCATTTTGTCTTGTTAACACCAGCTCTTAACAAGGTGCCTTACACATAGTAAATGCTTGATGAACTGGATTGGGAGATCTTTGGTAAAGTGTGGCAGAAATGTCCTCTGCCCAGTTCTATTTAACATTTTTATCAATGATTTGGATGGACGCATAGGCAGAATGTTTATCAAATCTAGGGAAGATAAGAAGCTTGGGATAGCTAATACACTGGATTAGAGAATCAGTATCTAAAAGTGCTTAACAGATTTAAATGATAGAATGAATGATATAGCAAGATGAGAGACAAATGTATAGTCTTGCACTGAGGTTTTTGAAAAATCAGCTGCATAAATATGAGACAGGAGACTTGCTAAACAACTTCTAAATTGGTAAGCTTTCTATCTCTGGAAATATGAAAGCAGGTGCTAGCTATTTGTTAGAAATGTAAAGGAAATTTTGCAGATTTTCAATTTTGTAAGGGGGTGGATTAAATGACCTCTAGTCCCTTCTAATTTTATGTAATATAAAGTACTTTACAAAGAAAAGGAGGTATTGTTAACATCACTCTGAAAAACCCTTTCTTTCTGCTCTGAAACTACATGAAAGGTGAACATAATAACTTCTACCTACCAGAGGTGTCTGCAGTTAGCTTTCTATCTCCCCTTCTTAGGATAGGGACAGACATCCCTCACCCAAAATGGTGAAAAATTCAGCTATCAGACCTACTGCAGAGGTCTCTTGAAAGTCCATTAAAACACATCTATGAGGAATCCTCCCTACAGCCTCAAAGGCTAAAATGAGGCTTGGTAAGGACAGCAATAAAATGGGAAAATGCCCTTAGCACTTACTTCTGTTTTATTCCATCGATAAATACTCAGGCATTTGCTTATTTGCTAACCTGGGATTTTTCTCTTTTTTTTTTTCTTCAAGACTGGGTCTTCCTATCTTGCCCAGGACGGAAGTGAAGCAAACCACTCAGGGCCAACCCATGGCTGATCAACCTCCCCCTAATAGCAGGAATCACAGGCATAAAAACTTGTATGCCTGTATGTCAGATAGGCAGCTATGTGGTATAACAGACAGAACATTAGACTTGAAGGGAGAAACACCCGAGTTTAAATTCCAGCTATGACACTAGTTGTGTGACTTTGAATAAATTACCTTTCTTCCTACACTTACTTTCTTCCCCCATCCAGAAAAATATAATACCTTCTAGGGTTATTTTGAGAAAAAGCCTCTAAACCTCAAAACACTATATAAATGGGAGTTGTTAGTTCAACTTCAAGTAACAACACATATGTTTTATATATATATATATATATATGTATATGAGACTTCAACTCTAATCTTCGCAAAGAGAGAGCTATATTCATGATGTTCCCTGACCATCTTTCCATGTTGCCCTGCTGGCAGCAGACCCAACCAAGCTACACCTGGCCTTGCATCTTCCTGCCATGAAGCCAAGGGAGAACCAAACTGCAACCTCCTCAACTTTCCAACATTCTCCTATAATGGGCTTTGAGCTATACCACGGCTGTATTTTATTTATCAGCCTCTCACTGCACAATGCTCCTCTGGTTGTATGGACACGATGGCAAACCATCTCTGTATTCATATGAACCTTTCAATTCTTCCTTATTCTCTAGGACATATAATATCCAAGTAGTATAATTCAAGTACTGTAAAATAAAGTTTTTCCCCCTACTCTGTAACTTTTGTTTCATTCAAATAGTTTACATATTTTATTTAATTTAAACCTCAGTTTAAAATATTCTGCAATCACTGATACATAAAAACATACATAAACTTGAGGAAAAACCACCTAAGAATAATAAACAGCCAAAAGACTTGAAAAAAATGCTCAACTGCAGTAATTATCAAAGAGATGTAAATTAAAACAGTTCTGAGAGTACCACCTCATATCCATCAGACTGCAAAACAAACTTAATGCTAGCAAGATTGTAGAAAAACAATTATTCTCATCAATTACTGACAGAATTGCAATATAGTAGCATGCAGTAAAGTTAACAAAAATAATCATAATAAATAATCATGACCAATTAACCCAATAATTCCACTGTTGGG